TAAATAACTCTTTTTAATTCATAGGCAATAGCATTCAAATCTCCTTTGGTAGTGTGGTGGTCTTGTTTTACTAAAACATACTGTGTACTTTATTTCAATCATATATTGAAGAAAAAGGATGCAAAAACTTAGATTTACGTTAAATAACTTGTGGCCGAGTTGACCTGCACCCATTTAGTTTAGGCATAGCAGGGCCTAACTAAACTAGGCCTAGCAAGTGCCTATAGATACCTAGCTAAGCCCTATTCTATAAATAATAGTACTGTATAGACTATATTATATATATATAGGCCTAACCTGTTGTTCGCAGTTTGAGCTATTTGCTCGGTATCCGACCAGATTGCCGAATCTTGCTGTTATCGACATAAATATACGGTTGTTACAGCATAAATAAAACTGTGCTTTGTAAACCTGATGCGGGTGGATCAGGGAGGAGCCGTAATTTCATACCCCGTTTAAGTACCAGTGTAAACGCCCTGCTTTCATGCCCCTTATAGAGTCTCATTTTTCTCAAAAGAAGTGTTTAAAATGATTGTGAACAAATCTAATGGAAACAACACATCATCCCAACCAGGGGTTAAGCCACACTAGAAAAATGAAATAGGACGTGCTTAGGCCGTCCAAAATGGAAGCCAGTGGGTGTGGCCCTGAGCCGATGGATGGGCTATGAGTTTTATGAACTGATTCTTTTTTATGGCGACTCTTTTTATGTTGCACCATTAAGCACTGTCGATTCACAGTGTGTGCCTGTTTAAAGAAAAATTGATTATTAAAGTTGTGTTGTTGTTTTAAATAATTAAAAAAAAAATTATTCTTGAAGACTAACATGGATGAAGAGGCTTTTTTGTATTGTGTCGGTGAAAACCATGAGCCGATACATTTGCCACATCTTCAAGCTGTCTTGATTGGCCGAGGACCACTCACCAAGATCAAGGATAAGCGACTGTCAAGGCAGCAATGTAAGCACCAGAAAGTAACATCTGAAAATGAAAACTTAATTGTTTTCTTGTGATTAGGAATTGACTAGGAACTAGATGGTAACATCATCCGAGTAAACTGTGAATAATGTTCTGCTGGGCCTTGTGCCTTAAATTGCTGGGGAATGGTGCGAAGGTGTTAGGTTTCATCTGCATTGTTTTATTTTATTTTCTAACTTTCCTTCTGTTAGATGTATTTCATCGCTATAGTATATCAGTAAAAAACAAAAAATAAAAGCGTTATGGTCTTCATGAATTAGTGCTATATCCAGTTATGTATATGCTATATACAGCTACTGTAGTTGTTTCAGAGAAATTTGAAGGATGAAAGAATTCTTTCACTCCAGTGGAGTTGCCAGGATTGCCTGATGGGTCCAAATTTCTGAAAGGTTTGTTGCGGGATGGGGCCAAATCCTTTAACAGGATTGTAAATAGACAGAGCCAGGGACTGTCAAGAACCTCTGGGAGGGGGACCAAAATGTTAAGTCGCAAAAGCTCTGACATTTTAGGGACGTTCAAATTTATATTTAAGTCAATCTTGAGTCTCCAATCTATATTTTATTATGAATAATTTTTTTCCTTTGCATGATTGTTTTTTTTTTTCCTCCTGACTGAGGATGGCTGGTAGCTCTTCTAGACCACCACTGGCACCATCCCTGCTTCGTTCTGTATTAAAATGAGCATTAGTTTTACATGAGTATATAAAATAACCAATGATGTCGTTTAACTTTCAGGTGAACTAACAGCAGATTGTGTCGACAAAACAGTCAAGATGAGACAGGTATTTTTTTTACAATATTCTTCTTATTTGTATTAAATGGACCTTTCCCAGAGTGTCAGTCAAACAACGGACCAATCAAAAGAAGGCCAGGAATACATGTGCGTGTCCTACAAATAAAAGTGTTATCCCACAAACTCACATGTTTATTATATTTTTACACTATTGTTTTGTGGGACCATAGCAACAGTATCCAAGGGGCGGGTCTCAGCAGAAAGGTCCATCAATTTGTTGTTGAGACTTGAAGAGCAATATTTAGACATTCAGCATATTTGATTCATTATACATCATAGAGTTTCCACATGTTTTTTGGTATAGAGTACTACAGTGTTAAATCACGATACCATGTGATACTAACTCTGTTGCTTTCGGTGACACAAAATGCGTTCAACCGACGACATTTTCTCCACTGACAAACCATTGATCGCAATTTCTAACTACATAATTATTAAGAAGTTGTATCTTAATCTTTGTAAATGTTATAATTGATGATTGAATGTGTGTTCAATAACTAATATAATGCGAGCTTTTTGTGTTTTTATTACATTTTGATGGTAGATTAATTATTAGGTTTTAAAATGCCTATTCCAGAAAGCCTATAGATTCTAAACCATTAAGATTATAAAGTCATTTAGGCGTAATGAACGGTAACCGACGTCCTGAGGGTGCCACCTGGTGTTGTGGTACTCTATGATAAATATACAAGAGCTTGGTAACATACTATTAAAGAAATACTTTACTGGTGACCTACTGTAGCTTTTAATAATGATAAAATGTGGACGTACAATTGGAGGAGTAATTTAATGAAATAAAAAACATAATAAAACAAATATTTGAAAACTGGGAGAGAGCCAATGTATACTATACAAATTGGTATCATTCACTTTTTTCGATGATAATTTATATGATTTAATTTTAGATTGGTGGAAATTCATCTTGTGTTGGTGAGAAAGAACTAAAGAAGGGGAACACTGAAGTAATTAAGAATGGCAGCCATATTAATTTATTATCTGGTGCTGATTACTTATATTATGTTCATTTTGAGAAAATTAACAAGAAAGTTAGTAAACCAGCAGCAAAGAAATCTTCCTTAAAAGACAATTTTAAAGCTGATGAAATGAAGGTAGATTCAACTTTTCCAAAAACATCCAAGCGAACAAGCATAGATTCAGAAGAAGAACCAAAATCAAAACGAGTTCGGAAAGATATACTGATAAATTCAGATACAGGGAAAGCTACTGGTGAATCTGATGAAAATGATAAAGCATCAGTGAGTGAGAAATTGCAGTGGTTGCACCAAAATGTGGTAAAAAGAAGAAAATCTGATGAAAAGGAAGAGAAGAATGATGCTACACGCACACACGATGCAAGCATTGAGACATGCCAGCAAGACGAGTGGGAAGAGTTGGGAAAGCTGATTGTTCATACTAGCAAAGGAGTATGTGCTAGGAGCAAGGTACACTAAATCTTATAGTGAAAATAATTTTAAAGCAATTATTCTGCAATATATCATGCAGAAGGTTGTTGGACCTGTTTGTGGTTTTGGGCTCTTATTTTAGTATTTTGTAGTCATTTCCAAGTAATTCTAGACAAACACATGCAAACACCTCCTGCAGCAGTGGCTCCAAAATGTGTTGATAGGCTGTCAGGAGGTCTTAACTAATAGACTGTCTAAAGCCTGGTATTGAGAGTTTTGGAATCAAATTTGTGGTGGGGTTCATTTGGAGAGGATGGCCCAAACCTGTTCTATTAGACTGCAGATTTAGAGATTGGCAATCACATTGTTCGGAGAAATTATTTTTATTTCAACCACTATGTTTCATTGAAAAAAATAGGAGGTTTGTGCTTGTCCAATAGTGGAGCAATGCCTCTCTGACGCTCTGCTGTCGACACTGGTATAATTAATTTCATACTCTTTTTACAAATTTTATTTAACATTAAGGTCTGTCTGCACTGTCAAATTTTATGTGACAAATAATGTGATTTTTCCCCTATTTGGGTGTTATGTGACATCATCATGCCTATATATGGGCACATCACATAAATGTGTCGCATACAATTTGATAGTTGTGGACAAAGCCTTACATAGCATTGTTCAAAATATGCAATTGTTTTACTGGAATCATAATCTATTATATTTACCAGATTGCTGGGTTTGATATTGATGGTACCATTATAACCACAAAGTCTGGACGAGTCTTTCCACAGAATGCAGATGACTGGAGGTATGTTTTGTTATTACATTATTATTATTATTATTATCATTATTATTATTATTATTATTATTATTATTATTATTATTATTATTATTATTATTATTATTCTTATCATTATTATTATTATTATTCTTATCATTATTATTATTATTGCTGCTGCTGCTGCTGCTGCTGCTGCTGCTGCTGCTGCTGCTGCTGCAGCATGTGCCATAACAGTAAGTTTTGGTATTTTAATCAAAAGGTTGTAATTTTGAGCACAATGTTCATCAATTTGCATTGTTCTTGAGCAAGGCACTTTATCGGTATGTGTTATTGGATACTCGATATATAGGTAGAATAATGACTTTCATTGAAATAAATAATGTTGAGCTTACCTTCACAAAAGAATCCGTATTATGCATGAAATAGATAATACATCAAATGACTGATAATAACTTACTCAAGAAATTACTTGTCTGATGATTCCACTTTAAAATACTCAACAAATATTATAGGCACAGTATTTATATTTTAAAATCTTGAAAATATAGTAGAGTTAGATGAGGAGAGGATGGAAAAACATGAATATGATGATGTTCATTTTATGATTTAAATCTGACAATTATGGCAACATTGAAGATGATAATCCTAATTTTAGTTATTATTGTTTTCCCTATCTAGAATAAATTTTACAAATATACCAAAGAAGATTCAGTCCTTACATGCAGATGGATTCAAGGTGTGTAGGTGTACATAAGTTTCCCCTACCATGAAAAATATTTATATTGCCCTTATTGAAGGCTAAAAGAAATAAATAATATTTCTTGTGAATATATGATGCATTGTAGATGTAGCTAAATTATTCTATCATTGTTGTCTTTCAGATTGTATTTTTTACCAATCAGGTATGTATGGCCTTTAGTTTGCATTGAGATAATAAATAGGCCTCCAGATTTTACTCTTTTTAGTTGAGTGGCCGAGCCGTATAGCAGGAGCGCCGCAAATTACAGCCTTAGCACCAGCACTGGTCTGAATTGCTTCAATGCCCAGGGTTTGGTTGGTAGAACCAAGTCTTCTTGGATAAGGACTTAAAATGGACGTCCAGTGTACACATCTTACTTATGTCCACTTTAAAGAACCCATTGTAGGGGGTTATCCCCAATGCTATGGTTCATTTTCCTGTTGTTTGCGGAATGATGTACATGTAGCTACTGTAAGCGCCTGTTTACAGTGGCTAGGTAGTTATGGACCACGCCCATATGCAGTTCAGCATATGCAATTACTCCGCCAGTTATATTCCTACCTTCACCTCTACTAATGCTGAACCATGGTCCATGACTGAACCTACTGTAAGTGGTTCAATAAGGGCCCTGCCCAAAAAGCACTACTCTCTGATAAGCCACGTGCTGCACCAGATATGATGTTTCCGCTTTTTGTAAACCAAGCTCAAAATTTTTCTGAATGTTTGAAATTTGCACTTTTTAAAAAATAATTTAAATTTAAAAATAGAAATTATCTGATACATTTTTTGCCATTGTATAGCTTGGAATTGGCAGGGGGAAACTGAAAGTTGATGATGTAAAGAAAAAGTTTACGAAAATATTAGAAGCTATTGGGGTACCAATACAGGTAAGAAGTAAGGATTTATTGTACAGTACATTAGGCCTTCTTGATTTCAGCCAAAAAGGAACGATAATTAGATGGTCGCTTTCCTGGATGCATTTGTAATACAGAGTTTTTCCAAACCCGTTTCTGTTGTTGGGGATAATTTGTAGATTGCGTCTTAGACAAGTTTAACTGTATTTGAACTTGTGATGTACTTTTATCAGATGCATAAAAAAATTCACTATTTTTGCATTATCGATGAAGTGGTCATTCTTTGTTTTTATTTCAAAGATCCTCATCGCCACTGGTTTTGGTACGTACCGTAAGCCAGCAACTGGTATGTGGTATCACTTGGTAGAGAAGGCTAATAATGGTGTTCCAGTCAACATCGTAGATAGTTTTTATGTTGGAGGTATTTATTTCCTAATAGCGCCAACTATTATATGTCATACTCAACATACCACATTTATTGTTTATTAGATTGATAAGGGGCTCTCGCCGGGGAGAGCTCCCTCATCTGTCAAGGAAAAAAAAAATTTGTGTTTTCTACATATTAGTGGACTCGATATCAATAAAATAAGCTTCTGAAACACCTTAATTGTTGTATTTTTCAGGGGTTTCACCCAAGGTCAACTTTCAAATGATTTTGAGTGACGCCTGTCCATGCCCACTTTGCTCTCGGTGGGCAAATCCTAGCGCCACCCCTGAGTGGAATAGTCCGTTATGGAATGAAATAGATTTGTTTTCAATAAGGTGATAATGTTTGTAGTTCATAAAAGCACTACAAGACTAGAACTAGAATTCTAATTTTCATATATTAGTGAAATTAATAACAGGCTGTGCTTCCAGATATTCTAAATTTGCTGCCTATGTTGTTTATTTTCAGATGCAGCTGGACGTCCAGCATTATGGTCACCTGGTAAAAAGAAGGATTTTTCCAAGAGTGACCGTCTCTTTGCTTTGAATATTGGACTTGCATTCCACACCCCTGAGGAGTACTTTTTAGGCTACCAAAAAGCTCGCTTTGAAATGCCAGAATTTGACCCAGTAAGTTGAAATAATGTCATATTGTATCAGAAACCAATAGAAAACTGCTGAACAGCACACAATATACTGTAATAAAACTATTATTATGTTGTTGAAGCCAGATGAATTTCTTCAAGAATATAGTGGGTTAATAGTTCAACAAATAAATGAAAAGTGTGAATTACGCAAGCAGGGGTCCCAGGTTAGAAAAAGTCACTTCTGGGCTCGAGATCTGAGCCTTACATTTAACTTTATGTTGCTGCGCATTGTGATATCCATCAGTACTGTTTTCTGTGAGAAAATTAGTAATAAAGTTGTAAAACCATGTAGATGTGAAGTTATGGAAGATTGGTTATTTTCCGGGAGATTCTTGCTTGCTTGGGGCTGTGTGGGACACTGTTCTGATTTCTGGGAGACTCGGCAACTTGCCGGAGATATGGGACCCCTGTGCATGGGACTAGCAGACTTGTGATATAGTGTTCTTGAAAATCAGAAATAAACTTTTAAAATATGTACATGTACTGTACTGCAAAATTCTGTAAACTGCTTATTTACAATTCTAGAAATTATTGGAGACTGCAAGTCCTCTATTTGTACAGTCAAATGGACAACTAACTTCTAAGAGCCAGGAGGTATCTATTCTTCTTTCCAATTTCTGTCAAAATTTTTTTAGCAATACATAATTCTTTTATGTCATTTTTTCAGCAATACATAATTTTATATGTTAGGTGCTCAGGGGCGGATCCAGAGATCCGAAAGTTGGGCCGATCGAGACAACACCGTCCTAGGGGACCCCACGAAATGTTTGTGTTCTAGACGTTATTTTAGAATGACGTTAGAATGTTATTTTAGGCGTTCTGGGCTATCATTTTTTTCTTTTTTCTTTTTTTTTTTAATCTCCCAAAAGGGCCCCCCTCCCCCCTAAATCCGCCCCTGGGTGCTGTACCAATTTGTTCAATTACTAAACCTATTTTTTCATTATATACTATAAAAGGTAATTGTTCTTGTGGGCTCCCCTGCATGTAAGTATAAGGATCAAATTTTTGATCATTTATTGTATTTGCATATTGAATTAATCATTGTTGATAAAATTTCATTATTTGGAGTTTTAAAAATTGCTCTCTTTGCATCATCAGTATGATTGTGGCGAAAATAATGACACAAAAAAAGTAAGCATATTGGTAATTAATATTAATTAATGAGTGTAGATTTGCATTCTTTACAGCTGGTAAGAGTACATTTGTAAAGACACACCTTGCCAAGCACAACTATGTACATATTAATAGGGTGAGTAAATGAAGTTTGCGAGATATTTTTTTTATTTTTTGAGAATTTTAAAAGCATTGACATGAAAAAATGTGGAAGAAATTTATGTTGTGGTCTACAATTTATTCGACCAATTTAAGTTGAAAATAAACTCAATGTTAAAATACTGTAAGACATATTATACAATTAGACTTAAAAAAAAAAAACCAAAAAAAAACCCCATTAAATTTCTCATTTAAAATGCTCAAATATATCATTTGCATTTACCACAAAAATTATTTAATTGCTCTTCATACGTTGTAGATCTTGCAAAGAATAATGAACTCAAAAATAATTGATGGGGAAAATATTTTCTAGTTAAAATTTTTTAATTGGAAGCTGGGACTTGTAAAATATAAAAAATATAAAATTTAAACATACTGAGTTTATTCTTCATTATTAATCAATCTTATATATGTGTCACATTATTTTCAAAGGACACATTGGGAAGTTGGCAGAAATGTGTAGCAGGCTGTATTAAAGCCTTGAAAGATGGAAAACGAGTTGTGATCGACAACACAAACCCAGACCCAGAATCAAGGAAACGGTAAGCAGTGCCTTGCTGTCATAATTTCAAGAACAAGAGAGTGGAATTAAATAGCTTGGTGGTTGTGATGCTTGCCTTCTAATCCCAGGGTCCCAAGTTCAAATCCTGTCAGATTTCAGGATTTTTTCTCACAACAAAACATGACTCCACTCCACGAGACTCGTATTTTATGTAGATCACCATGTGTATATGTTTGTCGTGTGAAGGGATTGCCACCTATCTGACAGGACAGTGATTAAGTCGTTATTAGTAATCCTTGGCCACGTGCCTAAAGGGAAAACATTATACAGTTCTTATAATAATGTTTATTTTTGTAGATATATCTCCTGTGCTGAAGCAGCATCTGTGGGGTGTAGATGCTTTGTCTTTAAAAGTTCAATCACGCATTGTTTTCATAATGAGAGGGTAAGTGGAAAAATCAGTTTCTTAATGAGAAAAATTTTTCTAATGTGCTTAATCATCATTGACAGTTTTTCATTTTACAGTATGATTTTTGTTAAAACTATCATAGGCCTACATATAATTGCTTTATTAATGCATCATCTTGTAGTTCACATTTAAAAAAAAAAGAAGAAAATTTTAAGTGCATGTATTATATTTTTTAATGCATTAAATGAGCTGGATTGTATTCCATTAAAATACACTACCCTTTATGTATTTCCAGTTTCGGCAGATGACACTCACCCCATCCCAGCATGCACCACTGACAGATATGGTGTTTCATTCGTACAAGAACAAGTTTGTTTATCCAACAGTTGAAGAAGGTTTCCAAGAAGTTCTTGAAGTTAATTTCATTCCACATTACGATAATGATAATCATAAGCATTTATACAGACAATATCTTCTTGAGAAATAGTATATCTTAGAGCAGTATTTAATAAAATACAGTATCATACCAGTACGTAAAACTAGCATGCTAATACCAGTTTCTGTGACTCAATACCATCAAAAACAGGTTTTACATTTGATAGTAACTTTGGTAGGAAAATAATTGTGTATGATGCAATACATTTAGACAAAAAAAACGAGTCCTAATGCTATACCTAAGGTTGTATACCAACAGTGATTGGAAGGTACAGTATTGGGTTCAATTCTTAATAGGGACAATACTGTATGTTTTTCTAAAAAAAAAAAATTACAATTTATACATTGTCACCTATAGTACATTTTCTACATGCAGGCATATAATAGGATGCTAGGGTCCATGGAAGTTGGGCAAATATAAGAGCACAAAATTGATAATGCGAAGCTTTACTTCCTAAATCACATCGCATGAGGCCAAGTGAGATGCCCATATTTGGGCACATCACACACATTTTTCACATAAGATTTCATAGTGTGGACAGAGCAGTAACCATTAAGCTACACCTCCACTACAATACTTGCCATTTTATACAGTATAATTATTTTTTATTTAGGACAGAGCTTGTCGGGCAACCGGACTAAAATAAGTTTAAAATACTGTAGGCCCACGCCATGCCAACACATGTCTGTCACAGTCATTTATGGCCATCCAGAGGTTGCTATTTAAAAAAAAAAATCTCATTTGGGAGAGGGACCCCCCTCTCAAACCCTTCCCTCAGCTCAGGCCTACGAGCTCAAGTCCCGGTCGGACAGCTCAGACCCCTCCCCAGAAAATATATCCTGGAGCCGCCACTGCCAGGGTGCCCCATACACCTATTACCAATAAGGCCTAAAAAAAACTGCCGCACTTGTATCGTGAAATTTAAATAAAAATGTCCAGGGTCGGCCATGTTACGGCAACATAACTTCTTTTTAGGCTTAATAGGACACATTGCATGGATGGCGTGGTCGGTTAACGATGTGCTCTAGTCGAGTTCGAATGGCGTCTTGGTATTCAATTTTTAATTTTTTTTTATTGTTTCTTTTCTGTTTTAAGCATGGAGGATATTTCCTCCATGTTTTAATAGTGTCAACAGAAAGCCTTGTCTGAAAGGTGCATACACGAAGCATTAAATAGAGGTCACTCTTGTTTTTTCATACAGCTGCCTATTTCCAACTGAAAGTGTAGGGCCCCTATGAGGCAGTGGTGGTACCAGGATTTGCCTGGGAGCCAATGTCCTTAATGGGAAGGCCACGTCCCTAATGGGAAGGCCAATTTCCAAGAAGGTAGCATAAGCGGGCATAGTAATCACAGCCTTTGCAGAAGTCTTTTGTTTTTTTTCAAGTTTATATTAGATTTAGGTGGCAGTTTATCATATAAACAAATAAATGAATGACAAAGACAAGATACAATTTCAACATGATTTATTAAGACTGTTCAATAAGAAAATATATATCTGATACGATAAATGTTGAATAATTTTTCAGACAGATAATTATACCCATGCTGAAATCGTAAGCCTTGTCAAATAATAAATAATAATCTTCAAAGTATTGTAAGGCCTAAATTACTTAGAAGGGGGTGCATGAACTTCATTAAATGGAGAAATTTACATGTCTATATGGCGAAGATCATGGGTGAGGGGAAACATTTCAAGTGGACACGGGCTATAGCTAACTATCGGTGATCAAGTCCTACAGCCTCACTGACATTATTAAATCCGTCTTCTCTGAAAAGAAAATGTAGTTATTTGTTTAAAAATGTGTAGGATAATAGCACAAATAAAAAAAAAAACAGCATATAAATAAAAATGAAACAAAAATCATTGGTATGTTTTTTTCAAACACTAGCAAACTATTATTGTATTCAACAAGAAGTTTCTTTACATCAATGAAAAATGATTAAAACATAGTTGATAATTGTCCATGATTTGATGCATATTGAAGTGTCAAATTACTTGTGAATAATTGAATATTAATAAATAATTTACCGTAGTATTTTTTCTAATTCTTTCTTGATGGTTGTTATAAGCGGAGGTCCAAGAAATGCCATTGCAGTGTATAGCTGAACTAATGAAGCACCAGCTTTAATCTTGTCATAAGCATCACGTCCACTGCTTACACCACCAACACCGATAATCGGTAGTTTTCCTTTAAGAAATATCACATTACATTTACTAAATACACAATATCACTACAATGCTTTTAAACATATCAAAAATATATTTTATTACACAGAATAATTTATTAAAATTTGTTCATATTATTTACATATATTTTCTTATACATTTTCCAACCAAGCATTAAGCTCTGTGTAATGTGCCATATTTGGACATGATGATGTCACAATACAACCAAATATGGCCACACTTTCATCTGTCACAAAATTTAATAGTGTGAATTTAATGGATATCACTTTCGTAACAGTGGCAAACGTTGGACAATACCCAACAGTGCATCCAAATATACAGATTATCGAGAAATAATTGATGTTTATAAATCTAAAGATTTGGTTATAAAAGATTCCCAAAATTCACCTAATCCCCATTTAACAAAATCATTTTTAAATCATTAAAAACAATATCTCTAAATGGATGAATTGTGGCTGGAATATAGCTTTAACTTTATTATTTTGTTTGTTATACAGTACTCAAGGATAAATTATATGGTGCAAAGTAGAACACGGATGAACACACCATATACATGTGTACATTATTAATGTTATCCATCTTTCTTTGAAAGACAATTGGCCATCAGATAGACACCGCTGTCTGCAGTAACTGATGGATAGTCACCAACCGAAAACAAGCGTAGCAAAAGCAAAGCATGGTGTGTGTCTTCGAGAAGGGGCAATCATCAACTGAGTTTGGGGGGGGGCTACTTTCACAAGTGAATGTACGCAGACAACTCACTGGGTAGTTTGATGTAGCAGTAGTCAAACTTGGTTTTGATTTAGATACACAATATCATATCCCCTCAACTAAATGCTCTACTTTAAATAAACATCAGCTGGAATAAATATCCCTCCATCATCATTTGGAATAAATTGCCCCAAACAACTAAACAAAAACTAACAGTAGCAACAATATTTTTAACACCATTCCATCACCAAAGTATTAATTTAGTAGAGTTAATATTGCTACTGTAAACTGGAATTTCATTCCACTTCATTTATTTGTCTTAAAAACATTAACATTTACAAGAATATAAACAGCAAGCAACAAGCAAAAAGGAACATGAGACTGGAACACCCAAAAGTAATGTAAATCACAGGAGAGTGGGGTGCCATTTAAGTTGATAACATACAAGTTATTATGATTCATACAATAAAACTTTCATTAATAATTAATAATAAAAAGTCGTGTTTATTATAAGTATATTATAGTTATCCATTTTACACTCACAAAAAAATAAAAATCTCCCCTAAAATAAATGTGTCCCTCAAATATATGCCTCTGTCAGAAAACTCCCCTTCAAAAATCAAATAAATATGGTTCATTATTTAAGTATTTAAAATTAAATGTGTATGATGGATACCAGAGATCAAATGGCAAGTGACAACTTAAGATGTAATGAAAAGAGCAAATACAAAAAAAAAAATGAGCTATAACTATATTTTCACTTGTACTTACACCGATTTTGTAACCTTGTACTATTATTATATTGTTATCACCTTAATATTGTTATGTTAATTTGAAGTGTTGGAGAAAACCATTAAACAAACAAACAAAAAACAAACGTTTAATCGGCCCATGTCTCAACCACAATATTTTGAGGCCAATATTATTTACGAACCCAGTTAAACTTATTTACTAGCCTATTTCAGCGTGCTAATTATTACATTTAGGAGACGCTTGTTATAGACTGGCATACACGGTACCAACGCTCGTTTTTACTATGTTTCTACGTCAGCTCGTCAGTGTTCTAATATAGACAATGGGTCGTGTCTCATATTATTTGTTATATTTTTATTATTCATTATTTTCACTTGACTCGCATAAATAATTTTGTTCGAAGAACATTTATATGCAGTTGTACTTCGCAGCACTTCACTTGCAATTTGCAATTTCTAGTTTACATATATTTTCTTATACATTTTCCAACCAAGCATTAAGCTCTGTGTAATGTGCCATATTTGGACATGATGATGTCACAATACACCCAAATATGGCCACACTTTCATCTGTCACAAAATTTAATAGTGTGAATTTATTGGATATCACTTTCGTAACAGTGGCAAACGTTGGACAATACCCAACAGTGCATCCAAATATACAGATTATCAAGAAATAATTGATGTTTATAAATCTAAAGATTTGGTTATAAAAGATTCCCAAAATTCACCTAATCCCCATTTAACAAAATCATTTTTAAATCATTAAAAACATTTTCTCTAATTGGATGAATTGTGGCTGGAACATAGCTTTAACTTTATTATTATGTTTGTTATACAGTACTCAAGGAGAAATTATATGGTGCAAAGTAAAACACGGATGAACACACCATATACATGTGTACATTATTAATGTTATCCATCTTTCTTTGAAAGACAATTGGCCATCAGATAGACACCGCTGTCTGCAGTAACTGATGGATAGTCACCAACCGAAAACAAGCGTAGCAAAAGCAAAGCATGGTGTGTGTCTTCCAGAAGGGGAGTCATCAACTGAGTTCGGGACAGTGCTACTTTCGCAAGTGAATGTACGCAGACAACTCACTGGCTAGTTCGATGTAGCAGTAGTTACTGCCTTTGCCTAGTGCATTGGGTCTGTTACTGCTAGACTGCAAAGAAAATAGCTATATCCCAAGTCATAACTAGACATAATGTCTCAATAAGTTACCTAATACTGTACTGTATTACCAAGACATACCATCAGTAAGTTTGTACATTTCTCGTATAGCATCTGTTGATAATTCTCTTACAGGTTTACCGCTTAAACCACCAGCTTCATTCTTTAGCGTGCTCTTCAAATGTGATGGACGTGTTATAGTTGTATTGCTGACAATCAAACCATCAATTCTGCTCTGTGAGGCAAATATGATGATTACGGAAGAGTCTGTTCACTTTAACGTACATATTGTACATACAGAATACACAGAAATCTACAAAATAAAACTCAGTGAGATTGGACCAAATGAGATATCAGGTGGAGACACAGTGTCTTAGGGTCCTCTAAAAAAAGAAAAGTAGAGAGAAGAAAAGAAAGGAGTAAAATACCCCAAAAAATGGGCTATTTTAAGAATGTACCATGGTCAAGCATTTCTAAACAATAATCTCAAACACTACTCCTTCACCCCTCAGTGCTTCACATGTCATGTATCCCCTACCCAGGGTTTTCTTTGGATCCATCCCTGGATATTAATACCATATATGTTTTGAATTATGCATAAGATAGGTAGCCAGGATAGCTAGCCCAGACTGGACAATCACAAAGAATCAATGACAAGGTTCCATGTGTTTGGTACCAAGTTACCCCACTCAGTGTAGACATATAAGAGAGATGCACTGACATGGACAAAGGTAATGTACTGAGGTCACTGACCTTTGGATCTAGAATGACATCAGCAATATCGTGTTTATCCTTGCTTGTCAAGTCTGGAGCAATTTTGATTAACACTGGTGGTTTACGTGGCAGAGAGTCTCTAGCTTTCAAAACCTAGTAAAGGTGTAAAATAATGTTAAGTTCATAGTTAAAATTTGCCACTTGTTTCTACAAATATAGAGTTTTGACCGTTAAATTTGAATACTCGCTAGCTCCATTATCATAATGCAACTTTATGCTTTCTATTCACAAAAAGTTGGCAGGTACGTAACCTAAGAAATATTGCCATCTTTGTCAATTCAATGATTAATAAGTAATCATGAGAGGAAAATGATTTGATATGTGATTTCCATTTTTTTTGTTGAAAAAAAATTCACATATTACAAAAAAAAAATATCAATCAGGATTTATTTCCATCATGTACACTGCTCTTAATGTCAAGGATTTAAAGACTTCTAGAATTTGTAAGCAAAGTAAACATTTGTATACCACTTACTACCCACATTTACTATCAATTCTTGGAGTTTCTCTTTGCCTTGAAGGTCACGGAGCCCGGGAGTATTTGGACTGGAAACGTTAACAACCAAGTAATCTGCCAAGTCACCTAAGCGTTCCACACCAAGAACGTAATCCTGGATAGCGCTATCTGATGTTTTATTCTTGCCTAGGTTGATGCCAACAATATTTTGCTTACCTGAAACAGCAAAAAATAAGTACAATGAAAAATTTTATGTGAGATACACAAAAACTGATTAAGAATTTTCAACATCAATTCGATTTTTTAACTGTATAGAGTATCTTGATGAAAATTGCAATGTTTTGTTGTATTTGGTAGTATTTCTATGGCGCCTACCACAATAAAAAAAAATCATCTCAAGACCCTTTTAAAACCCATTAAACTTAAGAATCAAAAATAATAATTAAAATAAATGATAAGCACTTGTTCGAAAGAAAAGAGCCCAGATGTTACTAATATGGACAAAAGAATTCAGACTGACAATAAAATGAATAGAAGTCCAGATGGTTTTAGTTTGCATTTATTGTAGATTTTATTTTTATTCTCTGTTGAAGCATCTGGAAACCAAATTTCATGTGAACCAAGTTGTGCACGTTGACAAATAAATATATTTTCTATCTTGATGCAATCATGGAGGTCTCCTACATTTGAACAACTGGTGATGCTGTGTGTATGTTATAAAAGCCAGGTTTAAAATTTGCTGTTTTACCTGGTTTTGCTCTGTAATTCTTCATCCTTTCTGCCACCACTGTATGTCCAACACTGTTGAAACCATATCTAATTAAAATATAATAACATATTCAAGTTGAAGATCAGTGAGGAATAGTTTTCAAAGCCAATGGATAGATAACGATGGAAAATAATTTATTCCTCCATTTATCCATTAGTGTTGGAGCGATCGGCAGCCGGGAAAATTGTGCGTGACCCCACTTGTAAAGCTCACATTAATATATCCATATAAAGCAATTCACACCCTTGTTGAATTTTAGGCTGAGCCATTTGTTCTGTTCATCTGCCGCTAAACATGCTCGCTGACTATTAGAATACCCAGATTTAATTATGATGTTAACTTGAACCTAGCCACAAGAAATACCTGTTGATGACTGCATCATCTTCTGTCAGCCGGAACACTCGAGGCTTTGAATTACCATCTTGAGGAAGCGGTGTGACACTGCCGACTTCAACAAAGCTGAAACCAATATTGTGTAGGCTTACCATTGCTTCAGCATGCTTATCAAAGCCAGCTGCAGTTCCGATGGGGTTGCTGAAGGTTTTTCCCCAAACAGTAGTTGTCTAAAAAAAAATACAGTAATGGAGGGTGATCCTACCAGCTTACAGTATTTTAGAAGGTTAACTGACATTAGGGTGGGCCGTATTAAACAAATGCAGTAATAGAAAGTCCAGTTTACAGAGTGTGACAGCGGCACTATATATAAAGCGGAATCCTGTCCAGTAGTGGCTCAAGAAATTTCTGACAGTGGAGCCAACCAAGGAGCCAACTAGAGCCCCAGTCACGGTCCCGGGATAAAAATTCCTGGTAGGGTTCATGGGGGGAGTATTATGGCTTAGTATGGCCCAAATTTGTGCATATTATTTGCATAGGCAAATTAATATTTTTGATTCTACTACATCATCATGGCTTCGGACAACAGGAGGACCAGGCCTTGGCAAATATCCCCCCACCCCTTGCCAGTGTCCTGTCTCAAAATACGTCTGAATAATTGTTTTTAAACTTTATATTTATTTCAATAGGAACTTATCAATGTCTTATTTGATAGGTGTCGATCTCATGACAAACGTAGGCCTACACATGACGCAGATACATAAAATGTCTCATTACGAGACTTTTATAGAGGAGTCTAGTTATTTGTTGTGAGAAGGTCATGGAAACCTACAATACAGGATTTGAACCCAGCCAGGTCCCTGGAATTGGAAGGTGAACATCTTACCTCCAAGCTATTCAACTCAACTCCTGGAATTTATAAGAAAATAAGAATTTACAAGAGAAGGGTAACTTACCAATGAAGGAGGATCTATGTAGTTGTTAAGTGGAACCATACCAAAAGACATTGCTTTTACACCTAGGACATGCGATGTCTCGGCATCAACCAAACGAAAGCAGGGCATAATGAAATGCTTATAGAATTTCTCATTTCCTGAGAGTACAGCGTGGCTGGCAAAAATGACCGAGCCACTGGTAACTATGAAAGCTGCTGACCGCAATTTTCCCTGTAAGTGTAAAGAATGTAACAAATCAAATGTAAAGATAAATAAATGCACTGTTTTAACACTTAAAACAGTAACTGTAACAAGAAGAGGCCTACTACTAGGCATATGCCATAGCGGGGCCTAGCTAGGTCAGCCGTATACCGGCCAGAGCCTAGGCTATGCGGCAAGGCCTAGTAGGGCCAGGCCCTACCAAGCGTAGGCTTCTAGCCTCTACCTAGCCTAGGCCTAGGCTAGGTCCCTATGCCATAGCCCCTACTACTACACTACTGCTGGCCTAGCCTAGGCAGTACTTAGCCCTAATAACTAAGGAGTTGCACTTAGCCCTAATAACTAAGGAGTTTGGCGCTATCCCGGGGGCTAACTGCTAAGCCTAGGTTTAAATACACCTTTCTTAGCCTTAATAAATAATATATTATATAATAACATACCATAATGCCCAAGTGACGCTAAAGACAAACTTAATGGTCTGCCTTGACAACATACTTTTCCCACTTCATGACGGTAGTGGCTATCGGCACTGCCGCAGTGCCGATTTGGCACTGCCGCAGTGCCAAAAAAAGCTGCTGTTTTCTATCGGCACTGCCGCAGTGCCAAAAAGTTGCTGTTTTCTATCGGCACTGTCACAGTGCGAAAAGCTGCTGTTAATTAATCGAATCGATGTTTTTATCGATAGATGACCTTGGTGTAATTCATAATTCATAATTTTATTTCACTCAAAACGTAATGAGACTGGTTAGGCAAAAACATGTCCCTGTACAAGATGCCTACCAGAGAAACAATGACAATGTTAATGGCAAAGACATAATAATAATAATAATAATAATAATAGTAATAATAATAATAATAATAATAATAATAATAATACAGATAATAATAATAATAATACAGATAATAATAATAATAATAAATAAATAATAATAAAAAGTAAATGATAATAATAATAATGAATGAAGATCAAAATATATCATTGAAGTGAATTCAGTTATTTATTAAACAAGATTTGGAGGGCTGGACTGTCATGAAGGTGTTGTATTAATGATGTTCTAAATA